GGGGGGGGGATGAGGGGGGGGGGGGGTAAGGTAAGAGACTTAAACAGGAATGCCATTTTTATAATGTGTTATAAAAGTCCCGCTAACAGTTTTCACTTAATATGTGTATACTTTCTGTATAGCATTTGTTGGTGATGTATTGACATATTCCACAATTTATTATCATCTGACTAAACTGAAGAATCATTTGACTCCTAGGGGACTAGATCAGGGCAGAGAGGAGATTGCTGGAGTGAAAGGAGTAAATGGTGATGCACAACTCCATCAGCTAAATGTACAGTTTAGACACAGACAGGAAATGTATCACCAAATAGCTGTAATTCTTTAACCTCTTAATGACAAAGGTCACCAAAGACCTTATCTCCTGAACCCAGTTTCGCAACTTTAGCATGTATGAGAAAAACTGTTCTTATCTTTACAGCTATTTAGCGTATCCCAGTGAATTATACCTGGTTTGCTCTGGGCATTTGGTGGTATATGTTAATGAATATCTCCTGTTTGTATTTTTATTAATAAAAGGAAAACTGTCCAAAAATAGTAAAATAAATTTTTTTTTTTTACTCACGCTGTATACTGTATTTCTTGCCATTATCATGACCCCACCATCCAACAAAAACTCTGTATACATTTTCCTATTCCCTATGTTCACATTTGTGAAAAAACAAAACACACTACTGCACATTTTTTTTTTTAATCTCCTACCTGGCACTTATACTCGCACTGACACTACGTATACTAAATTATGCTAATATTGACACTGACACTCAATATTCAGAATTAAAGGGCACCAAACCAAAACTTGAAAGAGTCCAAAGAGCCTTTAGTTGTTCACAGTTCGACCAAACAAAAAACAGTTATCACATTTCAGGGGCAACAATACTTTCCCTTCATCAGGGCTCTATATGATTTAACCCTTTCGCTGCCAAGGACGTACGTCGTACGGAGCTACAAAAGTGAAATCTAATTTAGGGCTGAAATTGTAATTGGCAGCAGCAGCAAAACACGTTAACTGTTTTTGTCTGATCACATTTTGGACTCTGTGACCTTTTGGTTTGGTGCCCTTTATTTCTGAACATTGAGTCCCTTCTGGTTGCCCAGCAAGGGGGGCCTGTTTTTTTTGAGGGGGGAGCTTATTTGTAGAAACCCCAGCGCCTCTTATAGGGTTAAAACTAACACTGAAACTGGCACTAACATTCACACGATCACCGAAAATGACCAACGCTAACACTAATCTGGTTTAAACCAGATCTAAAGATTTATCCGCATTTCATTTTTTTAACAGACTTTGTTTTTTTATAAACTACATACATGTCCGCTAGCAAGAAGAAAACGATACAATGAGGGGAATTTATCAAAACTGGAACCGACAGAATCTGGAGCAGTTGTCCAAGGCAACCAATCAGCTTCTTTCTTTTAATTTCAAAGCCTAAATGAACAAACTGAAGATAAGTTGATTGGTTGCCATGGGCAACTGCTCCAGATTCTGCGTGCTCCAGTTTTGATGAATTCCCCCCATTGTATCTCTTTACCATCAGTCATTCTGTGCAGTCCATCAGTAAGTCCATTGTAGAATCCTCTTCTAAACTAGCTTACAACCTCACTCTTTATCCCTCAACGCCTTCAAATAAGTTGGAATGACAGCACGCAACATCTGACACAGTTATAATAGGACCAATATAATAGGACAATAAGAGGACCTCTTATTGGTCCCCTAATATGTGCTTTGCAAGGGATTGTGGGAAGACAGATTTTAGATTTTTTTATTACCAATATTATTAATGAGGTTGATTTAATAGCATAACAAGAATACTTTTAATATATTCCTGTTGGCTTGTTTTAATATCGGTTAATTTGAGTGTGCTCACACATTGTATGAGTATGATAAAGCATTATAATATCTATGTTTTTTATAGTTTTTTGTTTGTCTAATACATAAAACCGTGATCAGCTACCTGGCAGAAAATGAGCATCTCTCGTATTTTGCAGCCCTTCCTGTATACATTCAGCTTCTTCTCAATCTCCTCTGTGGGGAAAAAATATACATCAGTCAAGTGAGAATATTTTGTAGTTACAGGAAGAAACATGCTGTAAAACTGCTGTTTATTGTAGACCTAAAGCTAAAACATCCATTTGTGTCTCCGGGCCAGAAGGTGAACAGAAAACTCTAGGGTAGGCGAGTATTCTGTACTCGGTAGTAACAAATGGTAGTAACAAATGGCGAAGAATTAGATTCTATTCAGTTTACTAATCCAGCCACCATCCAGTTATATAGAACTGCTTAAAAGGTAATAACTGGAAATATTAGACTGTCTCCACCTCAACTGTGCACAAATGTTTAATGCCAGATTCACCCTAAATAAGAAGAAATCTAATTGAAGAGGATTCTGCAGTTTATTAAAGGAGAACTATGGGGTCAGTGCTTTTCCCAGGGTCACGGGGTCAGTGCTTTTCCCAGGGTCACGTGAGGACACAAACTAGCGTCCTCCCGTGACCCAAAGCTCAGTATACCGCGAGCTACAGCTAGCGGTATACGGAGACCGCCGCAGCCGGGACGGATCCCGACATTACTGCCGAGATCCACCCAGCTGCGTGATTGACAGCTGGCTCTGCCTATCTAGAGGCAGAGCCAGCTGTACCCGACCCCGTCCGTTCCACCAGTCAGCGCTGGAGGATCGGACAGGGGAGGAGGGAAATTCCTGCAGGAAGCCTTGAATGACAGTCACAGCTCTCTGCAGGGACATGATCAAGAAGTGAGCGAGCGACGGTATGTGTTCGCTCACTTCCCGATCTATTGAGCCGACGTGCGACAGTTTAATTGTCACACGTCGGCTCCAACTATGAGGCTGAGTGATTTTCACTCACCTCATAGTTCTCCTTTAAGACATGGCAAATATGGACCCTGAGATGTAACAAATAGGTCCTGATAAACCTCAGAATCATCTACATAAGAGTCCTTCTCACTCATTGTTTATAAATCTGGCTTGGTTCTGATAATCTCCCCTGGGAAACAAATATGCTTTATATTAAAATAATGAAAGTGACTGAAATATCGATAGACTGTACTGACATCCAATGCAGTGCAAAATCAGAACAAAGCAAAAAAAGGAGACTAACAAATCCCAATGCTAAACAAAAAAACTGAAAACAAGATAAAAGCAACTTACCCAAGATGTCATCAAACGTTGCATGTTCATGATCCTAAAGAGAAAAAGACAATATGTATGAATAAGGATTCATTATTATTATACAGGATTTATATAGCGCCAACATATATAACGCTATACAATATAAGGAAGACATTACAGCTATAATACAATTCAAGACAAGATGGTTAGGATGCCATAACATTTTGTCCACTAGCAGCACAATTGTGTACTAAAGAAAACTTGTCATGAGAGATGTACACTGGCAGGCGTGGCTGAAAGTACCACCAATCTGGCAGTCTTCCACTTCTATACCTCCACTGCAAGTCAGCTAGAACTCAAATCTGCATACTTACTCCAAATCAGGGATTTGGAAAGTACTGAAGCCATCAGATCAGCATGACAACCAAGCAAATAGCATATTCAGAGGCAGATTAGCAAAGGCAGCCTCTCTCGTAACAGAGAGAAAATCTAAAACATGGCGGCTGCCACTGCTAAAATCTCCTTTAATAATGCTAACTGCCTGGCCGTTATGTTGAGCCAAAGGCTTCAGTACTTTTTTTTCTGAATAAACTGCTTTGAATATACTACACCTTGTGTATGCAAAAGTTTCTGAATCTCTTGCTGTCCATTGCATCCAATCACTTTCCATTATCTAGTCAGCAATAAAAACATTGGCATTCAGACTTTGGTTGCTATACGTAAAGCTTAATTTTCAGGAGAATAAAAAGTATAAGGCAACTTTTGTGTGCTGCAACTGCCTTCTTCAAATCCCACCATAGATTTTCTATGAGGTTCAAGTCAGGTGACTAATGGCCACTGTAGAATCTTCCAGGACTTCTGCAACCAAGTCTTGGAGGAATTTGAGGTATGCTTGGGATTATCGTCCTGTTGGAAGGTCCAATGACGCCCAAGCTACAGCTTCCTCACAGACAGTATGACAATTTCTCCTACGATTTCCTGATACTTCAATGAATCCATCTTGGCTTCCACACGCTGCAGGTTTCCAGTGGCAGAGGATGCAAAGCAGCCCCAGAACATCACCGAGTCACCACCATGCCTAATTGTAGGCAGAGTGTTCTTTTCAGCGTATGCTTCATTCTTCTTCTTAGACATACCACTCATCCCTAGTGCATGTTGCCACCAAGTCTTGCTTCAGGTCTTTTGCCGTCACTTGAGGGTTATTCTTAACCTGCCTTCTCAGAAATCTGGTTGCAGCCAATTATAGCTTTCTTATTCCGCCCCTTCCAGGTAATGTAACCACGCCCGTTCCTTTAACTTCAAACTTGCGAACTACACTTCCAACGGTGTCTCTAAGAACATTCAGTGACTTTGTTATCTTTTTGTATCCTGTTCCTTGTTTGTGAAGGGTGATATCTTTTCTTAACTTTTTTGACCATTCTTTTGACTTTTGAGCTGTATTTCTAACATGCAGTCAAACGTGGCATTGAACAAACCCTGGCCAGTTCAAGTATTTCATGTGTTCTAGCTCAAGCACACCTGGTGAAATTAATGAAGCCCTTGATAAGTTGCATCAGGTGTGCTTGAGACAAGACCTGCAGATGTGTGCTCTTGTAAAGGTGCCCATACACCTTACGACCATCGCAAGACTTTTGTCTTGCGATGGTCGTATGCTTCTTGAAAGCCCGTACGATCTGCCCACCTTGGACGGGCAGATCGTACTTGCGATCATCGAAAGCCCGTCCCGCTGAGGGGCGGGCTTCCGATGACGGCAATGCAAAACGGGCAGTGTGCGCGTGCGCACACCGGCCCGTTCCGCAGAAATCGGACGAGCAGACTAGAAACCCGCCGAGAATCGTACGATTTTCGGCGAGTTTTCGAACATGTTGGCTCGACAAAAGACATGCGACCGTACACTAGAAACGATTCACACTGCTCGATTCTCGTACGATCGCGGGATTTCGCCCAATTCTCGTACGAGAATCGAGCAGTGTATGGGCACCTTTAGGCTGGGCACACACCTTAAGGGCCTGTTCACACGACGTCCGTTTTGTGTGCTGACCGGCTCCGTACACTGCTGCACACAAAATGCTTCCCAATGTATTTTATGGCCTCCAGTTCTCACGTGCGCAGTCCGTTCAGCTTACGACAGAAAAAATACTGCATGTCACAATTTGTCAGGTCCGGAAACGGTCCGGATACACAAACGCGTCAAAACGCATCAAAAACGCACTGCGCTGCTGGAACGCATCAAAAACGCGGCCAATACGCGGCCAAAAACGCAATGCATCAGCAGCTCCACGTCTGCTGATCAGGACCTGATCTCATGTGAACAGGCCCTAAAACCATCGCAAGACTTTTGTCTTGCGATGGTTGTAAGGTAATTAAAAAAACGTACGATCTGCCCATCTTGGACATGCAGATCGTACTTGCGATGATCGCAAGCCCGCCCCGCTGAGGGGCGGGCTTCCGATTACCGCAATGGCGAACGGGCAGTGTGCGCTTGCCCGTCCGGCTTTTATCTTACGAACATGCTACACACCCGCCGAAAATCGTACGATGCTCGGTGGGTTTTCGAACATGTTCGTAAGATAAAAGTCGTGCGACCTTACAGTAGTAGAGGTCGCACGGCTTCCACACACCTTACGATAATCGTACGATCGCGGGATTTCCCGCGATTATCGTACGATTATCGCAAGGTGTGTGGGCACCTTTAGGGATTCTACAGTATTCAGGGGGTTGAATAATTGTGAGACTGCAGAAGTCATTAAAAGTTGCATTTTCAGCTTAATTTGGAGAAACCACTTGAAACATTTTTGTGTTGACATATTTCAATTGCTTTTGTTTGATTTGTTCATTGCAAACTGCTGAAAGTCTGTACATTTTGCAAATAAAACTGATTTGGGATGGGGGTTGATTTTGATTACAACTGTAGTTCAAATTCAACAACAGGAATTCAAGTTGAACTCCAGGATAAGCGAATATTGTCTAAATACAAGAGGCATGTGTATTCTTAAATTAAACTTGGTGAGCTACTACATTTATATGGGTTTGCAAAGAGGTTTGGTGCCCACAAAGTGCATTTATATCCCTTTGTGCTCAGAGTACAGCTTCAAATAAAAATACATACAGTATACTATAGTCAGTACACATAAATGGGGATATAATCCAAAATAAAGAATACTTACATAGAGAATTGGGATGATGGAAGGGTCATCTCTTCTTATTATGGTTGGAATATATTCTGCTTTGGGAACTTTGGATGATATTAGCTGCAGGGAGAATACATGATTATTTTGTTATGCTTCCAAGTCTCTTGACATAACATTTTGTAAAATACACTTTGCAAACAAAAAGACAGAAACTATGAAACAGAAACACATTCATTTCCTTTGAGAAAATTACTGTATTTGCTGGCGTATAAGACTACTTTTTATACTTAAAAACATCCCCCGAAAATCGGGGGTCGTCTTATACGCGGGGTATACAATGTATACCTTTAGTTCGTTTGGGCCAAGCTGGTCCAAAACGAACATCCCTAATCTGTCAGTCCGCTGGATGTGCGGTAATACTGTATGTACAATAGCTTCGGCTACATACAGTATATCACGCTGAGCCAATTAGGGCGAGCGATGTACACAACCTCTGCCAATCCAAGCTGGCTTTGTATTCATTAATAGAATACATCACTCGCCATGATTGGCTCAGCGCGGTATACTGTATGTAGCCGAAGCTACCGAAAATACAGTATTACCGCACATTCATCAATGATGTTTTTAAATGGTGTTGCCTTGGAAGTGGGGTAGTCTTATATGACGAGTATAGCCCAAAACCTATGTTTTAAGTGGAAAAGTAGGGGGTCGTCTTATACACCCAGTCGCCTTATACGCCGGCAAATACGGTATATATCTAAATATGTATCTGTGTATATGTGCATGAAATTAGAAGCTCGATAACCACATTGAAGAACTGATGTGTGCCCTTCATATAGCTTCCTATAGCTCTTCTTACTAGTCAGTTTGAGAAGGAACCCCATAAAAGGCTGTAACTGATTAAAATGGAATACTCAAAACATAAACAAGTAAAACAGGACTTGATTAGAGGAGGAGAAATTAGGTCACATCCCCTCCTTTCCCCGTCCAATCACAGAATGCCTTGTATTCGTTGAAAAAAACATTCAAGGCATTTTGTCAATTGGCAAGTAGTGAGGAGAGACGAGTGATGCAACTGGAGCACTTCACTGCTTAAGTCACATCCCTCACTCACCATAGCGCCTGGAAGACTGGCATTATGTGGTGAAGATGCCATGCTGCAAGGTGAGATTTTTATAGTTTGTAGCAGCCCTTCGCATGTAACACACAACTTTTTAGTAGTAATTTATACACCCAGTGCAGTCTGTAAATTATAATTATTTTCCTGGAGTTTGGCTTTAAGGTGCAATTACTTTAAGGCTCGCATATAAAAATACTAATACAGATTAAAACTGACATACATGCACTAGCTACAGCACATGTACTGAGTAAACTTGTGATACAATCTAATGTATGTCCCCTTGTACAGGTGTCCCTTTATCACCACTGTTTCCTTACATTACCAGGTATTCAAACGTATTTATAAAATATAGTAATCATACTGTTCTATACATTGACCATAGTATACAGTGGGAAAAGGCCTTGACACATTTTGCACTAGTATGCTTCTCTATGGGTATGGGATGAATAGTAATAGGCTAGATGTTTAAAAGAAGAAATGCCAAGTAAACAATCGTCCCCTGGTATGGTGGGGGGGGGGGAATCATAGGGGATTACAATCACAGTAATCCAGGAAACACCTGCTCACTGTCATATACAGTGGGCTTTCCTTCATGGAACAATAGATTTTTCTGAATTCCCGTATCAAAAGGAAAGGTTGTATCCTGAATGCCAGATTGAGGAGGGGAAGAGTCAATCCCATAGGTGCACCATAGAGCCATTGACACCATCACTAGTCACTAATGGTTTTACAAAGATACAAAACTTTTGTTTCCAGTTTTTTTTTTCAAGTAGTAGTATAAACATGTTAATGTCTTTGTGTTGGCAACAGATAATAAGGACCAAATGCAGGCCTACAATTGTGCCTACCATGATCTTGGGTGGAATAAAATCTTCTCCTTCACAGGACATAATTTCCATTTCTCTCTCGGCCTCCCAGTTCAAATCTTCACACTCGTTCAGAGCTGTGCAGGAATTTTGCAGGTCATGGCCTGATGAACAAGAGAGAACACATCAGAAAGTGGGAAATCCATACAAGTGAGTTCCACGTTGTATCTGCATGTGAAATATTATAACTTAAAATGAAATCCAAGTATCAGCTTGAGGTTTCTTGGCAAAATGCAAGTTTTCTTCTCCTGTCCAAAACATCTAAATGTATGTATAATTGTAAGAAATACTTTTATTAATGCTGTATTTTAAAAGGGCAGTCACCATGAAAATTAAGGCTAGTTGAGCCTATTAACGATTTATATTCAAAGCCAAAACCTTTTGACTTTGGATAGAGCAAAAAAAAAAAAAAAGGATAACAAGAAAAAAACACGAGCGCCACAGCCTAGCGCAATAAGATAGGATATAACTGGGGAAAAAACGATAACATGTAACCACAACGGTCTAACTGCAAAGGAGCACTTTGTACTGTTTAGCGACCACTTGGTTGTGTGAAGTGTATTAGATCTATGGAGGTGGTCAGGGCAGCCATCAGAAATTTTGGGGCCCCTTACACGGCTTTAGGCCGGGCCCCCCGCTGGACGCAGGGCTTAGTGACGCGCTGGACACAGGACCCATCTGAGAGTGACCCTGCAGAGCCCACCATAGATGCTGCACAGCCCATCTGCGACTGTCTATGGTGGGCTCTGAAGGGGTCTCAGGTGGGCTGGTCAGGGCTGCATCCCTGCCCTCCCTCCTTTCCTTCCTTCCTTCCTAGCTCCTCTGACCTGCACATATGGCCTCGTCTGCCGATGGACCGGCCAGAAGTTCCGGACAGTACGACATCAGACGAGCAGCGTCGCTGATGGGGCCCCAGCTTGTCTCGAAGCCACTGGAGCGGCAATGCTGGGGCCCTGCGCTGCTAGAGCCAGGCCTCCGCCTCCTTGCCCTTCAACGTCGGCCGATAGTCATGTAAGGGACCCGGGCGGGCCCCCCAGACTGCCCGGGCCCCTTACATGAGTATCGGCCATACCCCCCCCTGATGGCTGCCCTGGAGGTGGTGATGTGTGCATCTGCAAAGGAAGCAAAGAAAATCGACCAGCACACTGGTCATGTAGCACTGCAACACAAGTGGGATAAAAAAAGATAAAGTTGCACTCACATGGTGTAAGAGAGGAAACATTTGCAGATGCACACACCACCACCTCCATAGATCTAATCCTCTTCACACAACCAAGTGGTCCATGAACAGTAAGGAGCTCTCCTCTGCAGTTAGACAGTTCTGGATATATGGTACCATTTTTTTTACACCTAATATCCCAGTGAGCGCCACATTGTAACTTTTTTACACTTCCCAGTTATATCTTCTCTTATTGTGCTAGGCTGTGGCACTTGTGTTTTTTCTTGTTTCCAGTTTCTCTGCAGGACACCTCGAGCTGCCCATAAAAGAGCAGCATGCCATAACCCCCCCAGGAACATACGTCTCCCCCAATTACCCATTCATCGGAGTGCGCTCAATACACACTTTTTCCTGAAATAAAGATAAAACTGCTGTAATTGTTTTCTGCAGTTGTGGATATTCCTCTTTACTTCCTGTCCTGGAGACACAGCAGGAAGTGAGGGGGAAATCTCACTGAAGCCCATAAGGCAGGGGTAGGCAACCTCGGCATTCCAAATCTTGTGGAACTACAAGCCCCATGAGGCATTGCAAGACTCAGACAGCCACGCCTCCCAGATGCATGATGGGTTTTGTAGGTACACCACACCACAGAGTGCCGACGTTGCCTAACCCTGCAATAAGGTTTAACTAGCCATATAGGAACTTTCTATTCGTTACTGTCACCTTGTGTAAAACTGTGGCTTAATTGCTTCCTCCGGAGAACATCCCAATGTGAAGGGGGTTGGAGAAGTTACAGAAGTTGGTGGGATTTCGGGATGAGGAGAGGAGAGGTGATGAAGGCTGGGGGTTTTAGGTACAGGAGGCAATGGGATAGGCATGGGAAGTTAGTTTTTGGGGTTGAGATATTAGGTCTGGAACAGCTAGCAAGAAGACTGAAGTTCAGGGGCCTTGGCCTATATGCCGCACAAGGGCCTGGGTGTTTAAACTACAGTATGCAACTGACTTCTAAATACTACAGTGCTTACTTTCTTTGGAATCATGGATGGAGTCTGCTTTGACTGGGGTAGGGTCGCTCCAGGACCGGCTGAAGCTCCTTTCTCGGCGGTCAGCAAAAGCTGTATATAGAAAAGAGAGAATTCTTGTAATAATCTGCTTTCCAGAACCAATTTCATGTTTCTTTTACCAGCCATACAGATTCAATATATGTTTAATGTGCCTTTATCGGTATTAGTGGTTCTCTGGCCTGTGTATCATACCAACAAACCCAAATTGTAGGGATGCACAGATACTTTTCGAGTACCAGTACAGATACTTGGCATTTTCATGAGAACTACCAGGGTGGCAGAGGTTGCAGCTGGGACCTGGCTCTGGCACTCCACCACTGTCCTGAAATCATTAGTCTGTATTGTTTTAGAAAAACTGTCACATGACAAAAAACAAAAATGTATCAGTACTCGTACTTGTAAGTACTCGGCAAGTACCAGTACTTGTACTCGCAAAACTGGTACCTGTGCATCCCTTTATTTATATTTATAAAAACAAAATCGTACATTAAAACAGAGATGTACAAATCCCGGGAGCTCCATGTGCTCCTTACAAATGACAGCTGCCTCCTAATTTTTCTCTAGTGTAGTCTTGGAGCTCAAAAGTATCGGTACATGTACTCGTACTTGTACCGAGTACTGTACTTGGTATCTGTGCAACCCTACCAAATTGCATGACAAAACGGGTATTTTTGATACAATTTTGTTCATTTTGACAAGTAATTAGCCCAACCCCTGAGGAGCCATAAATACTAGTTTGCATTCCATATGTTTGCCATGTAAGACCAACAGCACTGTGCAAGCCACAAAGCCCTAACCGGCTCACAGTGCTATAACACCGAGACTGGTTATGTGATCATACAAAAAAATTAGGAACTACCACTCACCATTCTTAAAATTATTATGGCAAGGGGTTGGAATGGCCAACCTTATTACCTACAGAGCAGAAGCAGGTAAAGGCCTGCAATAATGATTGCTAGTAATGTGCATACTGCTTATATTTTCCTCTCTGTTCCATGGATGCTGGACTGTGTGCGTAGGCAGTAAATTGTTTCTTAGACAGTGTGAATATTACCTCATCATAGCCTACGCTCGGCCCTACGTGTGAATACATAATGATACACACATCCATTGCATACCAACACACAAGGGAATGCCTATATGAAACGCCATAAAAACAGACAAAAGGCTCATCGGAGGGCAATCGTATTCAACATTCTCACACATTGCTTACACTGAGCTTTCATTCTGCGGCTTCCGACCATCCGTAAATGCTTGCGGAAATTCCTGTGGGGGAGAAGAAGAGAACATGAGGAAGGAAAAGAATGGCTTTATGTATGAACTATTATATTATGCCCCCTGGCTCCAAAACGTGATTAAAATCTCAAATTAAACTGGGCAGCTCAGTCAGCACCAGCTCAGGTCCCATAGGGATTTGCTTCACATTAATGTGAACCTGTGGTTTGACCTTTCTGGGCAAAGTAACATGTTTACTGAACATCCTCCACCCTCAGCTGCAAATACCTTCCCTCTGGTGCATTCAGCTGCCGGGAGCAAAGTAAGGAAGCTATGTGCGAGCTTCAGTAAACAACTACACATAGCTAACAATTCTCTCCCAAGCCTGGGTGTCGGAGAAATCAAGCATCAGTGCTGCAATGTTGGAGGAAAGGGTGGTGGGTCACATGGTCCTACATAACCATATGTACCAGTATTTATTTTCACCAAACAGTGTGGTGAGGGAGCAAAGGGAAAGTGAGTATGTGCCACCAACCATGCGAACATCGTACGATCAACCAAAGTTTTCAAACATGCTTGACCGTCAAAAGTCGTACGATTGTACAGTACTATCGGTCGGGCATTGTCGTACGAAAAGTCGATCGCATACGATTATCGTACGATAATCGTAAGGTGTATGGGCACCTTAAGATTTGAAAATTAAAGAGAGAGGCTGATTGGTTGCCGTGCACAGCTGCCCCAGATTTTCTCTGCTCCAGTTTTGATGAATTTGCTTCAATATCTATTAGATTTGTGTAAATGTTTAATGTGAAAGTACAATTTATAAACATAGATGTATATGGAGGCAGCCATGTTCACTCATACACAGATTCTAAATAACTGACTGAGAGTGGCTAAACGACAAATCCTTATATTTACTATAGTAACAAAAATACAGAAATGCAAGCGTGTAAAATGTCAAAGTCATATGAAAACAAACTAAAAACTGTGGGGTCTATTTTTTTGAAAAACATTTGCATAGGTTATTTGTCCAGCAAACGGCAAGTACATTGCAAGTACAAAGTACAGTGAATGGGGAAAATACCAGACTATGGCCACTAGATGGCGCTGTGGATCATAGGAAAAGTTAGTAACAACTTTCAATGTTCCAATTCTAGAGGCTGCTGTAGGGAATGAGCATATACATTTAACCATTGTTACTACAGGCATAGCAATGGTTACATTTATATGATCATTCCCTCCAGCCTAACTCACACAGTATGAATGTCACTGGATGAATAAGCTAAGAGAATTTTGTATAAATAGACCCCTATCCGTATCTGAAAATGTACTATAATTTTATGCGGTAAAAACTGCAGAGGTAGACAATTTCAGGAAAGGTTTGTGCCAATACATAAAGATGTTACTGACACAAAATGCTTACTGAGCTGCTGCATTTCATTTTGGATAAAATAAAAAGCTAAGTCTGCTAAAAACTGACGTTGCAGTCCTGGTCATCATGATTGGGATGAGATACATGTCAGTTTGTGTGTCTGTCGGAGACCCCTGAGGAATGCGATTTGACGCAGTAAATATCTTATTTTGACAAATCGGAAGTCAAATAAATGATTATGCCACAACGCACAATGCATAGTAAAATGCGCAACTGTCTTCATCCTCTTGGCACACTAGTGCACACCTCTATTGCGCCAGATATTGATAGTGTCATTTTCTGAACCATTAATTATTTGGAGCAGATCGTGGGGCTTTTTAGGGTTAATTTCTACAAGTTTGCGCAGCATTAGCACCCCTGGATGGCGCTAGTGAGTATGGGAACCTCTACAACCCCTTTGTGTAAAAAGTTGGGGGGTTCTGTGAACCACATATTTGGCGCAATGAAAATTGTTTATCTTGCCTGCAGGCAAAATATCACCTATGACATGATTATATTTTATTTCCAATTATTGGTACATGGCCACAGGTAATTAACACCTCTTGATGGACTTTACAAGCACAGTCCTTGCTTATTCTGTCCTAGAAATCCCTATGCGGACAGTCTTGTATTCCCTTCCTAGGACTCATTAAAGAAATGCTTGATACACTGGTCAGTGTACAACAACTAAAGACGACCACATTGTTTGCAGAATTGAACAGAGTTGTACAGGTAGTAGAAAGGTTCCAAAAAATAATTGTTAGCTTCCTGTTGGTTACATTTTGGTCTGGTGGTGCCTGAAAAATGTAGCTCATTCCTGAATAATCCGAGAGAGAATAAGGAAAGGCGGTGGAAAGATTTTCATACACTGTGGAGAGAAGTGAGTCACACAGGGGCAGCAGTGAGCAAGTGTAATATCTGATTACTACAAGAAGGCTGTTCATTGGGAGTTTATCCCCCACTCACTTTAGGGCAGGGCTAGGCAATCTCAGCACTCCAAGCTGTTGTGAAACTACATGAGGCAGTCCAATGAGGCATTGCAAGACTATGACCCCCACAGGCCTGACTCCCAGAGGAAGAGGTATGATGGGACTTGTTTCACCACAGCTGGAGTGTCAAGGTTGCCTATCCCTGCTTTAGGAAATACAATCCATTGCTAAGGAGATTTATCAAATGACAAAATAATTGTGTTTTTTTTTTTTACACCCAATTCACTTTTGGCACGATGCTCTCCCACTTTATCAGATAAAATCTTGATGATTGATAATTGTGAATCCAGCCAATCGTAACTCTAGTATTAAGTGCAAACCTATCAGGCTACAAATATGGAAGCTGCCATTGCAGTTTTGGTCTTTAAAGCCAACCAATAAATGGTCAACTAAGAGTTTCTTTGGATTGCACACATAGTAAGCAGCCTTTATCATGTTTCCACATTGCCCCATACACCTTTCAGCCACATGCTGGGCTAGAGCTTACACAAGGCGTAGGACCCGTTCTCCAGTAATCAGGCCCAGTGAATGGCTGGTCAGGCACAGATCGCTGCATTGTTGGAAGCAGGACAGAGAATCAGGTGCTCTCTGTACCCAAAGGTTCTGGGTATTCTCAAGGCGAACGGGGCAAGTTCAAGTAATATTTTGTTACCATGCCTAATACCAGGGCATCTGGTACTTCACCGACCAGAATACTCGAACCAGCTCTACCTCCTCAATTCCTATATAAATGCCTTGGGGACCTTGGTGCTTAGTGAAGATTCTTGTCCATCCTTGAGATCCATCAATGCCCAATCACCGACACACGAAACAGGGATCCTCCCAAAGACTTGCTTCATTTCATCTTGGCATAAAAACAGCAAACTAATGCTTTTGTGTTTCAGCTCGAACACTGGGCCTTATTCATATGACAAAGGCCCTGTGTTCGGACTGAAACACGTAAGCATTTGTTTGTCTGCTGTTTTTATGCCAAGAAAAAAATAAAGCAAGTTTTTGGAAGGATCCTTGCTTGCATGCCAGTGATTGCACGCTGATCTGGTACTTTGTCCTGAGCAGGCAGAGAACAGGTACACTTTAAAGGATCAGAGGGAAGTCACTGACCAGGGACAAGCTCCCATATTCCTATCCTGGATAAAGTATATACTATGGTATACAGTTATATGAGCTGAGCTGTCTTCATGGGTGGTCCAGCTTAATAGGAGTTAATAGATCTCCGCATTCTGGAATAAACGGTACTAAAAAAAGGACTGACAGGTCCCCTTCGTCAGAATGTGGCGTTAAGCAGCTGCCATTGTGGAGGCTGCTGTACATTGGCTCCCGGCATCTCTGTGATTAGGGGCCTGTGCTGTGGGTGTCAGAAATAGTTACATGCAGATTCGATTATCCTCAAGAAAACAGCGGGAAGATTTTCCACTTGAACACATCCTTTGAAAGCGATAAGAGGAATGACAAGACGATGAACTCGTTGTGCAGCAAGAGATGGCATGTCGAATTTTCTTTTGATAGAGAAATTATGTTCCACAGTCAGTGACGGAAATAAAAAGGGGACAATCATCAGGATGCGCGTGGTCTCTTATTAAGAGGAGCAGAGAGGCGGGGGAGAGGGATTGCCCATCTCAACCAATTAGGCTCTTCCTCCCATCTTTTTTCTTAGTTTTGGATAAATTGGGGAAGGGTCTGCGTTTTAGAATTGAACCTTCTGAATTGTTATCAATGTCTGTGCCTTACTGTCCTAGTGACAAACAATCCTCTATTTCTTGTACAGGCCTCACAGGGACAGGAAGTGACAGGAAATCTCCCCAATGAAGTCACAAGCCGAAATGCCAAAATAGAAAAAATATAGGTGTAATAAAGTGGCTTAAAGTGTGCCTCCATTTTGTTTGTATTTGATAGCGTGGGGAAGGATTAGACTCTGTCAGGTTTTTATTGCTGTCTGAGCCCCGATTGAGGAGAGTCACCCCTCTACTTGTACTGGTGGCCATTGGCGCAGAGAAAAAGAGAAAGGGGGGGGACAGAACAAGAGGTGAGGGGATATCTTCCAATGGGGACATTTAGTCAGGGAACAACTGATTTCCTCTAACTTCCTGTTGTGTGTCTGGAACAGGAAGTGAAAGACAATTCCCCCAATAGTACACAGAAAGCTAAAAAAAAAAAAAAACTCTTGCCTACTCTATCCAAAACTAAAAAAAAAGTGGTGGCTGTACATAGACTTAAACTTAAGTTCAGATTTCATTTTTCATTTTTCTGGAATGGGTCCAGATTGGATAGAACATACCTGGGTGATGGCTATGTGATCAATTTGTGCTGCACAGATTGGTAGATCAGGGGACATGACAGGACCAGTACATTTTACCATAGCTAATAGTACTGTATATCAGAAACATTTCTGGGAGTTTCCCTAGAACCTCAGTATATGCATGGTATAGTAAGGTTTTATCTTTTGTGTTGTTTTGTACAGACCTCGGAAAGGTCAGAACCGTGTCAGGTATTGCTCTCTGTGACCCAGTGGGGAGGTTCCCCTCACCTTTTGCCTTCTTCATACCAGGAGCATTATCATGAGCTGAAAAGTCTCCAAATGGTACTTTGGAAATTTAACCATGGAGCCAGTGATACCATCACCCCCAGAACTTTACAAAGGAATATATAGATTTCAAGTCCAATACTACCCATCTTCACTCTCTCTCTCTGCATGGTGACAGTTGCCACAGAAATGTAAAATGTTATATTTGTCACCAACACATCAGGTGAGGCCTACACTGGTGACAACTGCAAAAGCTGGAATTTACGGTCACATGAGGATTTTTTTTTCTGCTTCCTTTTGCATCTCTAAGACAGGAAGCAAGAGGAAATCTCCGTAGTAAGGACAAAGACAGCTATGTTTCCACATTACCCCATTCAACTGCCAGAGTGATTGTGATAGTAGATGGAGTTCTACACTTTATCCCATTTAATTCTTTATGAAAGTGTCTTTGTGCTGTATGAACCATCCCACATACTCATTTGTTGTCTACACGTCTTTCATTTTGTCAAAATGTCTATAAAATAGAAGGTCCTGTCTGCACAGCCCTCCAGCGACACACATGCAATCTTGGCGATCACCCTACCTCTGAATAACGGCTGCCGAGTCATTCTCTCGCTTCCGTCTCTTCCTCTCGGCATAGCCTCGGAATGCCCTGAGAAACCGGTTTGTGTCATTAACTAGCCCAGTAAATGGGATACAAGCCAAAACAGCAGCACACTGGGTGAGTGGACGCACCATGACAGGAGACAACACCGAGGCAAACCAAAGCTTCTGAACACACACAGGAGGGGAATGGAACACGACACAGACTTACACTGATCACGCATGACCCAACTAAGCATGTGCTGTGATTGTTCCAAGAGTCACTTGTGACAGTTGGGCTGTGTAGATTGACAAGAGTATTTGGTCAATCTCTGTTGACCAACAGGCAATAGTTCCCTTAGAGGAAAGACCTATGAGGTGAAGTGTGCAAATCTTTTGAGGTCAGGCCGGTATCTTACTGCCCATCTGTCCACCTTTAGCCTCCCTTTAAGGCACATCCAGACCAAAATGTAAGGAGTAAGGAGCTATGAAATTCAAAAACAGAGCAAGAAAGTTGCTGTATATAAAATCGGATAATTCCAAGGTCAGAAAATGAGCATTTGGTCTTGTGGTAGGAATGGTCCTCGTTTACTGACCTGTTATCCTTTTACTGCTACCATACTGAGGTCACATATTTCATGCACTTTCATTAGTGTGTGAATCTACAGCTAGTAACGTCATAGAGAAACCTGAAATCCTGACCTGCATATTTGCTCTGAGACTCCAATGAGGACACAGACAGCAATAAAAAGCAGATGGAGGTTCTAACCTTTCCTTACTCTTATGATAAAAAGTATAGTTTTTACTGCTTCCGTTTCCCTCTTGAGGTGGTTTCACTTAATTTTCTGTTCTGGTGCCAATGTTGTCATTGGGACAGACAAAGAAGGGAAACAGACAACCATAAAAACTTGACCACAGTTCTAACCCCTCCACTCTGTTTCAACACATCATGTGCTTTCAACACATGGGGGTCTACTATATTTTCTGACCAGCCTGTCACATGGCATTACCACCACTAGATGGAGCTGAGGAGCGTAGAAATTACATCTAGTGGCAGGAATGCCATGCAAAATGGCTGGACAGGAGATTTATCTAAATAGACCCCCTGATGTTTAAACTGTATTAGGTCCAGTATCCACAGGCTTTTGTTCACCTTTCTAACCATTCAAGTCTATGGGAATGCAAAGCAGATCAAAGGTACCTGCAATTAATTCTAAATGACCTTATAAGCATTTCAAACATGTAAAAAGCAGGCTGCATTTGACCACTGAAGCCAGTCGACACAGTCCCCGAGCGTGCCGCCATATCTTAATGCCAGGTTCATTGTACCTTTCTTAGCCCAGAAGTTAGAGCAGACTTAAGACTGAGATCGTGATTGCCGATTTTCATCCCTAAACAGAAGACAGATCACTAGGAGTGGCCATACACATTAGATAATACCTCGGTCAAATCGCTCCACAAACTTAAGTCCACGTTACAGCCCCCCTCCCCAGATCCAAATCAGCTCTCTCAGGAAATAAAGGGATTGGACAGGCTGGAAATGCTTGCTTGATCTCTGTAGATTACTTTCTTCATTTGACCCTACATCCCATTACTACAGCAGGAAAACAAGTTCATTCATAAAACTCCTACTTGCAGACAAAGCTGAGCCACCAGACATTGTCACATGGTTGGATCTTACACTTATGAACATTCTCTGATCAACTTAACATACATATCACCTGACCAGCAGACAAGGATGTCCACTAGTTCTATCCTGTCATGATACTTCAGCATTCCTTGAACGCCGAAATGCAGTGGGAGAAGCCAGGCTCTTTACACCACAGAGGCAGTTACTTAGCACATGTCATTTCATTAATAAGGCTTAGTGGGAGATGTAAATTATCATGTTAGAATATCATCATGCAAGGTCATTTTTCATTATTCTGGAAGCAGTATGTAGCTATATTCTCGCTAATTAGGGGTTATCATGGTGGGAGAGGAAGCAGGCTGACTGCGAGGTAACCACGGGAAGGGAGATTTATTGACAAGTGAAAATAAAAAAACTTGCTTACTGTTCTACATTATTGATTTTCTTTATATTAAAAGCAGAATTATTTATATAGGAGGCTACAAAAGTTGGATTTCCCAGAAAGGTTGTACTGACAGCCTAAAGCAACCAAGGTAATGTCATCCCAAGCCAAAGAATACACTGAGCTGTTTGAGTGTTCATTAATGCTCAATGCTTTTGTTTATTTGCAGCTAGTAACCCTGCCTGTATTGAGCGAGCCAGCCCTAGAGGACACAGCTTCCCCACCCTCCCCTCTCATGCTTTTAGACAATTGTGCTATTTCCATAGATTTATAAGGTATGACAGCTGAATACATCAACACGGGACACAGATCAACATAAACACAGCGTGCAGTTCTGTGATAAACCAAATGTGCATGCATAGGGAGCTGTGGGGAATGGAGGCAAGCAAATAGGTTTCACTATGCAGTCTACAATGGAGTGTTATTCAAGCAAATACTTACGAGATACTGTTCTCATTGAAAGGAAAAGGAGGAGGAGAGAAAAGGTGACATTCAGTTACCTAATTGTTCTGTCTGACAAACTGTGAAATGCATCTTTTATATAGTCAGTTATTCAGCCACACGCTTAAAGATGAACTCCAGGCAGAAATTGAAGAGAAAAAAAATGATACCAGTCAGGTATTAATTCCTATATAAAAATGAAAACATTGTTACATTTTCTATTAACTACAGCTAGTATAAGCGCCTGAATGTGTCTTCATATTAGCTTCCCCGGATCCCATGCACAACATACCTAATACTGAGAAAGAAAGGAGCAGTACAAACCAATTAGTATTGTCAAAATACCTGAACAATCTGATTGGATGCAGGCATTATTCAGGTATTTTGAGGCCGACTAGCAAGATACTGAAGCTTGGCCCAGTGGGAGATTCCTCCATCCGCACAGTTTAGCGTAGATGGAGGAATCTGTTCCACTTTTTCCATCTGACCATATAAAGTCTGTAGATAATCTATAGGTGTATGGTCAGCTTAACAATGACAATAGAAATCAGATCGAAGCGTGCTGCTGGTGCTTCATTTTCCCAAGTTGGGGCTCTGGGGAGACCAAGCGGTCATCAACTCGCCTGTGCTGCCCGGCAAGGGTGCCTGGATCATAGGACTGGCTTTACAGAATTACAAATCCTTTGGCAGGTCAAACAGTTCACAGATATGTGTCTCAGCCGTGTGTTTAACTATTCACTTAAAGTTCAGGTCATGCATCATTATTAATGTGTGCCTCTGTCTAAACACAGCCCTCTCCCGGAACAATGAAAAAAATTGGTACAGTGCTATTAAAAAAACACAGCAATGCTTTAAACATACGCAGGATTTCTCTCTATACGTAAGAGAACTTTGGAAGTAATTCTCAAAGTGTTGTAACATCTATCCTCTAGCTATGGTTAAACTACAAATCTCATCATGCTTCTGCCTCTGGGAGTTGTGCCTGTGGCTGTCACAGCCTAATGGGATGTGTAGTTGTATCACAGCTGGAGGGCCAATGTTTGGCTATCCTTTTTGTAGAGCATATGACCCTTAAATAGACCAGAAGAGTTAATAAAGTTTTCTGTATTTCGCTCTTTAAAAAGCAGCTTTTCCATCTTTGAAACTTGAGTAATCAATGTACCAAAGAGCAGAACCATTGCTGCCAAAATGGTGAAAGAACTCGAGTAATCATTGTATCCCATAGGACCCTTCCTGCAGTAAATATCTGGAGCCTTCATCCATCCTTGTCAAGGTATCATATTAGGAGGTGGCTTTGTCTGCTCTGGAAGATGCTGACTAGAGCAGGTTTGTTTCCTTTTTTAAGGCTGGTCTCATTCTGTCAAGATCCATATATCTCTACGTGTATAAAACTGCCATGTCAGCTCACTGGTTCAAACACAGGTGTATGCTCAAACACTGGTGCCGGCTGACGATGGCCAAAGGCAGCTCCTAGACAATGTCAAAAGTTCCTTTGACGTTTCGGCACAGCGGCTCATCCTGCAAATGGAAACAATTCAACCCCACAACGCAAAGCCAAGACATCAGCAAAACCTGTACTTGTTTTCCTGCGTCTGCATTCTCATATCAAAGAAGCTGTATTAAGGTTTGGATCTGAGATTAGAAATATTCATGCTCTGAAAGGGCAAATAAATACACAGCTGAATCTAATGTATAGAAAACTATACATGTCAGCCAAAAGATTATAGCAACACTGTACTCTAGCTGTTACTCTACTACCAGAAAAACCCTTCAATACTCAATAGCCTTCAATGCCCTCAATACTCATTACCCTCAAAACTCATTACCCTTAATACTCATTAACCTTCAATACCCTTCACTTAATACCCTCAAAACTCACTACCCCTCAATACACCTAATACTCACTACCCCTCAATACCCCTAATACTCACTACTCTTCAATACTCAGTAATTTTCAATACCGCTAATACTCAATACCCTTCATTCAATACCCAATTCCCTTCAAAACCCAATACCCTCAAATACCCCTACAACTCATTACCCAGCCTCAAAACTCACTACCCTTAACACTCAATAGCCTTTAATACCTTTCACTCAATACCCTTCAATACTCCATACCCTTCAATACCCCTAATATGCAATACCCTTCAATACCTTTCACTCAATACCCTTCTATACCATCAATATTCAATAATCTTCAATTCCCTAATACTCTTCATTCAATAACCAATTCCCTTCACTTAATACCCTCAAAACTCACTACCCCTCAATACACCTAATACTCACTACCCTTCAATACCCCTAATACTCACTACCCTTCAATACCCTTCACTTAATACCCTTCAATACTCAGTAATTTTCAATACCGCTAATACTCAATACCCTTCATTCAATACCCAATTCCCTTCAAAACCCAATACCCTCAAATACCCCTACAACTCATTACCCTTCACTCAATACCCTTAATACTCAATATCCTTCAATGCCCTCAATACTCAATAGCCTCAAAACTCACTACCCTTAACACTCAATAACCTCTAATACCCTTCACTCAATACCCTTCAATACTCCATACCCCTAATACGCAATACCCTTCACTCAATACCCTTCAATACTCCATACCCCTAATACGCAATACCCTTCACTCAATAACCTTCAATACCTTTCACTCAATACCCTTCTATACCATCAATATTCAATAATCTTCAATACCCCTAATACTCTTCATTCAATACCCAATTCCCTTCAATTCCCTTCACTTAATACCTTTCAAAACTCAATACCCTTCAATACTCCTACTACATAATATTCTTCACTCAATACCCTTTAATACCCTTAATACGTACTAGCCTTAATACCCCTAAAACTCAATACCCTTCAAAACCCTTAATGCCCAATAACCTTCATTACCCTCAGTACGCAATAACCTTCAGTACTCTATACCCTCAATACTCAACCTTCAATACCCCTAATACTCATTTACCTTCAATACCCTTCACTCAATACCTTTAATGCTTAATAACCCTTAGTACCCTCAATACCCTTCAACACCCTCCATTCTGAATATACTTCACTCAATACCCTTCCATACTTAATACCTTTCAATATCCTTCAATAGTCTTACTACTCAATAATGTAAATACCCTACTTTTCAGCACTGGCACCCACTCACTTATCAAAGAGACCTCTCACTTTAGGCTGGCCAAGCATCATTGAAGAAGTCCCTGAGCATGGCCTGCCTGATCTAAATGGGTATCTAAGCCCCTTTTACACCGAGTGCCAGAAGCTTGACCTGAAATTGTAGTTCCAGTGCAGAGAAAGGATAGAAAAGACATTCATCTAAAAATAAATGCTAGTGAATCCATTCAAAAAATATGATGTAAAACTGCAGGGGAGCCACTGATTTAAAACAAAAAAGTCCACCCACAACTGATTGTTTGGTACATGACAGAGTTAAACCACCTGAACGTTTCTTAGATCTTTTGGAGATTCTATCGGTGAGATCTCTGTGCTTAGTTCCTGAGTCTGTACACTCCTTTAATGGCCATTTTGAGGGTCATTTTATATAATGGAATGCTATCTTTAATGCTAAGTTTAATTCTACCTGGAGTTCCTCTTTATTTCAGGTGTATATTTGTAAATATATAACACACATCTTCTTTAGCAAACCATTCAGGGCATATTGACTAAGAGAGCTTCTGATGTTGGTATGCATAGTGGAGCTTCTGGATGGTTGTACTTACGCTTGCATAGTTGTGGTGGCAGTCTGAAAGGTGAATAGATTTTCCTTAGGAAACCAAGTCCGTATAGGGACATCATCTGTCAATAGAGAGGCACACAGTTAACAAACCTGACAACCCCTCCTAGACCATGTGACATGCTTATAGATTTTGGTTTGGTTTTATATAAATATGAATACGTTGGCAGTGGAAAAGTTGGAATAGACCCTCCCATGGACGTGAGTCCATTAAAGAGTAATTCAAGGAAACAAACAGCAAAGGTAAGCATAAGTCTCATTAGGGGTTGTTAGAAATATATTATGACTACATTTTTTTTTTTACACCAGTGTATCAGTATGTGAAAGACAACATGGAGCCTGCAGGAGGTATGTTTAGGAAACCCTCTTCTGCAGCACAAGCCAGGGTTCCCAGGTCACCATCGAAAGGGGGTTTGGGCAACTGGCAAGGCCCACAAACAGCTCTGTGCCTTCAGGAATATGTGACCATTCTGGAACAGGTGTGACAGACTGAACCATCACTAGAGTCCTTCCTACTGACTATGACCCTAGGACTATGGAGACCCCCTCGGACCTCTTGGGGTTACAAGGAACTATTATCCCAGGTTTTGCATGGAGTGGATATACTGCATTTTTCCCCTGGCATTACGTTTAAGTGACCCTGTTCCAATTACAGGTACAGGATGTGACTCCAGCAACACCAAAGGGGTTAACTCTGGAGTGAGACTCCCATTTACCTTGTTAGTCTGTGAGTCAAGTCTATTTGTCCATTTGTGTGATTGGGTTAACAATGGGATTAACTTAACACTAGATGTAGCTGAGTGACTTAACATATGATAGACACTCAGGAGATAATCCAAATCACAAGCGTCTCCTCTCTCCCTACTCTTTGATTAAGGCACCAGGAGGGGATGGTCTGCTTGCATTGTTTGAATGTCTGATTGTATTATGTTTTTAGACTTCCAAAACTGTATGTATACTGAGCTGGTTTTCAATAAAGTCTGTTCCTGTTTTGACTTCAACATTGGTGTTGTCTGATGTTTGGGGTAAATCTTTATTATTTTGGGAATTTAGTCTTTTGTCCTAATATATTGGTTCCGTTCAATAATCAGACAGGTATGGGCTAAGGATGCTAGAATTCGGGTTCCAGCAGAAAGGAAGCCGATTTCTGACGGAGGTGCCCAGTCGGGGTACCAGGCGGTCCGTCACAACGGGCACCTCACTGTGTGCAGTTCTAAGTATTACGTTTGCAGCAGAAACCATATTGTGAAACCAGTCCATTTGTAGCATTTACACAATGAAAACCATTGTTTCACACTCACCAGATACTCTGTCGATACTGTACATGCGTTCCAGCTTTTTCCTGCGCCAACCAGATTCGCTGGCTTGGTGCTGCTCTAGATCAAACGAGTGCTGGGCTGACACCGTGAGCTTGGCACAGTTCGGGCATTCCTTGGAATTTTGCCGGCTGCCTGACCAACTTTTAGAAGGCCTGGTGATATTGTGGGAGCTGCCTGAGTTTTGCAGGGGCTGGTGAAGGTGACTGTAATGATGGGAGTGATGGTGCTGTCTCTCGTCCTGGTCTGGCTTCATCACCACCAGCTCCATGCTATCACTCTCGTGGTCGGACAACATGGGCCTTTCTCCAGAGATGGTGTAAACACGAGGTTTGGGGCCCTCGCTGGGCACCTTCTCTCCACGTTCCTCTGAAAAGCTTCGTTCTAACTTGCTGTCAGATATGGCTGAGAGGCGGCGTTTGTTCTGAGAGGCTTGGAGCATTTCCGGGGAATCCTCCTGGACAAGGAGATGGTCTGAAGGAAATCATAAATACAAATGATTAAAGATCATTTTGAAAGACAACATATGCCTTTTATAATGTTTCTTTTTTTTTCAGAGACCTTCCATTATGATTGTCTTAAAAAAACACTAGAGTCACTGTGTGCTTCTGATATCCCTATAATTCTCTGTGTATAAATGTATTTTGGAGCTGCTATATCTGAAGGTGAACTAGAGATCAACAGATGAAGACAGAGCTGAAATGCATAAATATGAAGGCAATGCTAGATCAGACCTCACTTTTCCTAATGGCAGTAAAGTAATGCAGTTTGGTCACCAACATGTCCACCACTTGCTAAGTGGACAATGAAGGAGCATCAGCACACTGATGAGGTCCTCAGTCTGCTCTCTCTTTATATCATTAAAACTTACAGTGTTAGATTGGCAGAACTATACAATTCAGCGGTGCTAGATTGGCTCATTGTGCTATCCCTACGTCTTCCAGTCCTGCTGTGCAGGGGATGAGAGCAAGCTCATAATTCTGCCAGATTCTGGAACCAAGATTTCCAGCAGGAAGATGAAGTCCTTACTCCTTGACACTGCACAAAAAACTGAGCTGCCTTTACTAGTTGGGGGTTGGGTTGACCACAAGCAGGGGCTGCCTCTAGGGTGTGCTTTTATTTTTGTGCCTAGTATCCTAATCCTGAAGGTGGCGCTATAACCCAATGGTTAAGATCTGAAGATCTCCATGGTGTCCTTCAATGAACAGAAGATAACATATTATTCCTTGTTTCAGGTATACAGTTTAAATTTTGTAAACTGATGTATGTCAGTCACCTTTGATATCTTCACAACCCCATTGCATCATATTTTTTGAAATTTTGTGTAACTGCAGAATACAGAAATATCTGAAGGGTAAAAGGAGAAAAAGACGTTCATATATCTTCAACTGTAACCAAGAGACAAGCTGTGAATAGTAACTCCTTAATATATGCCTTATCTATTGCACTGCATGGCAGCTAATGAATTGAACTGATTTATGGCAACACTAAGGACAAATGGAAAGGATACAAGGAAGAAAGTAACGGAAAAGAGAGACAACAAGTTTGCTTTAAAAGCAATGTATAATGTTTTTTTTTAAATATTTACATTCTCTGTATATTATGGTGAGGTCTAAATACATGTTTCCTTTTTTATTCAGGTAAATATGAAATGCTGTATGAGAAAATGTTGTATTTTTAGCCAGCAGGTAGCTCTGGGTTAC